AAGGATGGGCGGGGTCCTCGGCCAGAGCTCTGTAGGAGGCTGCTGGTCGGACTCAGCCCGTCACGCTCAACCTGCTGGAGATGGAGGCAGTGCACAGAGTACTGCTGCACTTTGCTCCTCAGCTGCAGGGGAGACACGTGATGGTGCGCTCAGACAACACCACAGTGGTCTCCTATCTGAACAGGCAGGGGGGCACCAGGTCCCCCGCTCTCCATCACATGGCGACGGTGACGCTTCACCTCCTGTCTCTCAGGGCGCGCCACGTCCAGGGGGCCCGGATCGTGGGAGCCGACAGTGATGTCCAGGGGGGGCCCACTCCAGGATAATTGGGGGACTGGGGACTGGCCCCACGGGTGCTGCGGAGATCTGGCGGAGGTACGGGCAGTCCAGTAGTCGACCTTTTCGCCAGTGCAGAGAAATCGCACAGTGCCCGTCCTGGTTCGCCTTATGGGCCGCGGACGAGCCGCCCTTAGGCGTGGGACGCTCTGGCTCATTACCCCTGGCCAGGCGGGCCTGCTTTTCTACGCTTTCCCACCAGTGCGTCTCCTGCCGGTCCTTGCTGCGGAGGATCGAACAGGAGAGGAGATCGGTGATCCTGGTGGCTCCGGACAGTCCGCATGCTCGGTGGTTCCCCTTCCTGAGGGGCATGGCGGTGATGGAGCCCTGGGCCCTCCCGGACGAGCCGGGGGCTCTAGTCCAGGGGCAGGAGCCCTGTTTGGGCCCTGTAGAGGAGCCCTCCTCTACGGCCGTTCTCAGGGGGGCGTCGGTCGAGGACGTTTGCCGTGCGGCTTCTTGGGCGTCGTCCTCCTCTTTCGTCCGGTCTTATCTTTCGGATGTGTCGGACCGGTCGGTGGCCCATTCCGTGCTGAGTGCAGCGGACTGAGTTAGACCGTTGGGTCCCTCCCCTGAGGGGGGCCTTCGGTCTATTTTCCGCCCTGGTGCAGGAGCTCTTGGGAGAGGCATCCTACAGGTGCGGTACATTTTGTGTGTGTGGTCGGTCTGGTAGTCCACGTCAGGAGCTCTTGGGAGAGGCGTCCTGTGACTACGGATGACCTACGGCTTGTGTTACGTGGGGGTATCCTTGGTAGGAGAGGCCCCGTAACACGCTTGTTTCTTCTGCCCTGAGTCCTCTCACGTTGTGAGGGTCTTGCTCGGGCGGAGCTCCAATCACCTTCGCTGGCCTGCTGGGAGTACATTTTCCTACGGCCTCCGCGTTGTGTCCCACTAGCGAAGTCCTAAGGGACGTAGCACCATGACGTAGAATTAATAGTTACTTAATGTAACTTAAGTTCTACGAATAGGTGCGTAGTCCCTTAGCTACGAGCCCATCAGGCCAGCCCGGCTTGGCAGATCTCAAGAGGGGGTACGGCCTTGTGCAGGGGCATTTATATATGGAAGGTGGCTGGTGATTGGAGCAAATTATTTTGATCTCTCTGGCGCGTGACCTGGGGGTCACGAGTGATATCCCACTAGCGAAGTGTGTGTCTGGGCCCCAAGAACAGGGGGCCCCCGCTGTGGGTCAGCCGGCTGGCGCACTGGGTTGCAGGCTGTGCGGCGGGCGTATCAGACGCTGGGTATGGCCCCCCCCTGGGGGCTTCAGGTCGCATTCCACACGATGGGGTGGCGGCTCTGACGGCCCTCCTCAGGGGGCGTCAGGTCGAGGAACGTCTGCCGTGCGGCTTCTTGGCGTCGTCCTCTTCTTTCGTCCGGTCTTATCTTTTGGATGTGTCGGACCGGTTCGGTGGCCATTCCGTGCTGAGTGCAGCGGGACAGAGTTAAACGTTGGTCCCTCTTTGAGGGGGCTTCGGTTGACTTTCCGCCCTGGTCTGGAGCTCTTGGAGGAGGCATCCTACAGGTGCGGTACTGGTTTGTTGGGTTTGGTCGGTCAGTTAGTCCACGTCTGTGTCCCACTATCGAAGTCCTAAGGGACGTAAGCTCCATGACGTAGAATTAATAGTTACCTATTGTACTTAAGTGCTACGGGATAGGTGCGATAGTCCCTTAGCTACGAGTGCCCATCAGGCCTAGACGGCTGGCAGTGTTCAAGGAGGGGTGCGCTGTGTGCAGGGGCGGGCCTTTATAGAGGGGGTCGCTGGTGATTGGAAGCAAATTATTTTGTTTTCTCTGGGTGTGACTGTGGGTCACGAGGTTCTCCCTCGATATCTCCTACTAGCGAAGTCACTAAGGGACTACGTCACTATTCGTAGAACTTAAGTTACATAGGTAAAAAACTATTCTACTTGCATGTGTAAAATGATTCATTTGCTAAGGGTGGTACCTTATATTGAGCTTTGCCTGACTCTTCACGACAATATAGTTGATACAGTGGACCGCATACCACACATGCTGCTCAAATCCGTATGATATCTAACTTCATGCTCCATCCTTCCCCAGCTGAAAAAGGAACAAGACCTAAGAGGACTGTAAACTCCTCCACTTGAGGAAGGACACCTCAGCCCCAACCCCCCCAAAAAACCCTCCCCCCACCACCCCCCAAACCCCCCCCAAAAAAAAAAAAATCAGAATCAACACGTAACAACAGCACCACGTAACAGGTCATCTTTTTTTAAACACACACAAAGTATTATGAAATTCACATTCTGTACAGCTTATGGCAGCTGGCATCAACTACGTCTGTGTTCTCAAACTTTTTGCACATGTAAACACCTCAGAAACTACTTACCTCTCAAGTACCACAAAAAGACCAACACTATTCTGTTGGCGTATAAGCCTATAGGTATTCTCAAGAACAAGGCAGAGGTTTCATTCCTAAAGAAGTATATTTAATATTGAGAGCCATTGTAACATTTTACTTCATTTCAACAGTACAACGGTGCTTAAATATAGGGAAAGAAAACGCTAACAACTGTACGTAAATAACTGATTCAATTAAATTTTCAATTCATTAACAAACGGTAAAGCCTTGACTCACCACTGTGAAATTATATTCCCGAGTGCGATGGCATTCTTGTCCACCAGAGGGTTTGGACCCGGGTGCACTTTTGTTTATTAGGGCTTGGGTCTGATGGGCCTCTTACAGTACTTCTGCCATTTACTCAACCAAAGAGATGTTGGTTCTTATGTTTGCGAATCAAATGATTTTGTTGTTCTCTGTTCCCTTTGCCCGCACAGAATGGGAAAATAACTTTTGTATATTGTTAGACCCGGCTCTAGGCCGTAACATAACAGAAGGGAAGAGACACCGGCTATGTTCAGGAACCCCCGCGTACGGGCATTCTATTGCATTCTAAATTCTCTGAATCAGTATCCTATTTTATTGCCAGTAAGTAACAGGATGTCACAGACTGGAATTGCTTGGCTCAGTGCAAACATTCATAGAGAAAATAATAAAAAACTAAAACTTAAAGAATAAAAAACACTTCTAAGGAATACATTTACATTAGAATAGAGTTAACGTTACTATTTACAATATACAAGTGCACTAGGTGCACCAATGTAGGTGACAGCAGTACAGTGAAGTAAGTGGTATGATGCGGCAGTAAAGTGACTTTTATAAAGGGCGGGGGACAGGTTAAGAGTGTTCAAGAGTCCAACAAGCATGAGGGGAGAACTGTTCTTGTGGACGGGGAGGTTATAGTCATGATGGACCGCCAGTCTTGCCAAAGGGGAGTGGTTGGAATAGTCCAGTGCAGGGTGAGGAGGGTCGGGGGCCTGTGATACGACGCCGGACTTCGAGTCGGCGGCCACGTATCAGGTTCCTGCAGCGATGGAATGCTTCGGCCAATCACTTCCTCTGCAGAGCCGACAATGCGCTGTAGTCTTGTTTGTCCCTGACTGTGGATCCAGAGAAACCACACCCGGGACGGAGGAGGTGAGGTTGGACTCGATGATGGCCGTGTAGAACTGCTCCAAACATCTGGCAGGCAGCTGGCTTTCTGAGGCTGCTGCAGGAAGTACATCCTCTGCTGGGCCTTTCTTGCTGAGGGAGTGATGGTCATGCTCCCACTTGAGGTCCTGGTGAATGGTGGGGCCCAGGAAACGGAAGGGAGAGTCCATCAGGAAGGGGGGGCTGGGGACAGTGCTCAGCCTGAGTCACACAATCATCTCCACTGTCTTCCTGGGCGTTCAGCTCCAGGTTGTTACCACTGCACCAGGACACCAGCCGGTCCACCTCCCTCCTGTAGCGGAACTCATCGTTATTGGAGATGAGGCAATGAGGGAGGTGTCATCCACTGGAACTTGAAGCAGTCACAGAGTCGCTGGCTGGAGGTGCAGTGGGTGTGTACTGGGAAAAGAGCAGGGGAGGAAAGCACACAGCCCTGTGGGGCTCTCTGTATTTATAGATCGAGAGTCGAGACATTCAATCCTTGACGCACTCGCTGATTCCTGTCTGTCAGGAAGTCAGTGATCCCCCTCGAGTGAACCGGGCACGTTGAGCTGGGAGAGCTTGGCCTGGAGCAGGGATGGCAGGTATCGTGTTGAGAGGCAGAGACCCGATTTAAGTCCACGAACAGGACCTGGCGTCGGTCCCCGGGGAGGGCCAAGGCTGTAGGATGTGGTGGGGCCAGGGTGATGAGATGTTCCAGATCTGTTGCTCTGTAGGCGAATGAAGGGGTCCAGGAGGGGTGGAGGTGAGGGACTTGAGATGGGAGATGACCCCAGGCGTTCCAAATGACTTATGACGACAGAAGTATGTGCTAACAGTCTGTAGTCAGTTGAGTCTGTGATCCTGGGGCTTTTCTGGGCACGGGGGCAATGATTGAGGTGTGAGTGAAAGCAGGCCGGGGGACATGGCAGGAATGCAGAGAGGGAGTTGAAAATGTCAGTGAACACAGGAGTTAGCTCACTCGCGCAGTGTCTCAGAGGTGTGTAGCTGGAGACCCTTGGTCCGGGCAGGAGCTTTGCGGGGGGTGCAGCCTCAGAGGGAGTTTGTTTACTATCTCTGTGCCCCCGGGGACTTGGCTGCTTTCAGTTCGTCCCTGAACGGATATTTAGCTGCTTTGTAGCGCTGCGGGCCCCCTCCTGAAAGCCGAAAGGACATGGCATCCATCCACCTTCCAGGGACCTTAAAGACGTCTATTTCCGCCAGGGTCATAGGCTCTCCACCGTGCTGTCCCGGTGTGGGCCTTAGCACGGGTGGGTGGTGAGGATCCCCCCCCATTCCTCTGCAGTGTTATTCCTGCATGCTGGACAAGCCACCTGATAAGTGATAGGCAAGGAGGGAAGAAGGGAAGAACGCCCTACGCAATGGATGCGCATACGATTTATCTGGAACTAGAAATGGACATGAAAATGTTCCAAAAAGTTGACATGACACAACTGTGTCCTCTTCCTGCGCATCGGCATCAAGCTCAATAGTTTTGTTCAGATGTTTTTTAAGAACACGTACCCGTAATATTGTGCTGGTAATGTTGATGTTATAATTGGACATAAGCCATCACTTGATCACCAGGCTTGAAAGGAGTGGAGCTCAGGACAACTGCCCAATGGCGACTCAATTTGGCTTTGGTTACACCCAGTTTCCCCTGCATAAAGGCACGTTGCCTAAACCCGTTACCGTGATCCAAACGATTTTTTCAGGGGGGCGGTTCAGACTCTTTAAACTCAGCAGCACTAGCTTGCTTGACAACACCTGGTACTTCAAGTGACCTCCCACGCAGCAACATCAACCAAGGCAGACCTCCTTCCCAGCCCTTACCTATCTCTATACAGTAAGTATAGAGATCGTAACTCGCTTGGGAGGGCTTTTCAATAAGTTATTTCACGACTAAGAAACAAATGAGAGTTCAAGTTTGTCCCCGTCCAACTGAACACTTCGGTCTCCCAAACCGGAGATGAAATGTGACAATTCCTGCACACGATGTTGCTGTAACAGAAAGCAAAGGATACACAACAGGTAGGGCACTTGCTTTGACAACAGTCAGTAATCTGTAATTGTATGTGACTTTTATTTAGGACTCCTTGAAAAAGAGGTCCATAATCTCAATGGGACTTTCCCCCCCCCCCCCTTTCCCCCCCTCCCCCCTCCCCCCCCCCCCCCTTCCCTCCCCCCCCTGGTTAAATAAAGTAAAAAAAATAATAATATATAGTATACTATATATATATATATATTATATTATTAGGGCTGTCCAAACTTATCGCGTATTCAACGTTAATTACCGTTTTCATTAACGCGTAAAAAAATAATTAACGAAGTTAACTGCCATTGACCGTGTCTCAACTCTTGTTTTATTGGTTGTACCAAAAAGTTAGAGGTTGTGAGAAGTCAAACAGCCTTATTGCAGTGGCTCGGGTAGACTTGCGTCACAGAAAACTAGGGGAACTCTGAGCCAATGGAGCGTCCAGGACAATTCTAATGTAGTGACACGGAAAACCATAGAGAGGGCGCCTCACCGGACGGTTTAGGCTAAAAGTGAGTTTTTAACTAATTTGAGATTAAAATGTCAAATATATGGCCAGGACATGTAGGGGCACTATAGGAAAACTTATTTAGGCAGTGTATAGTAAAAAAGTTGATTTGGTGTTTAGTACTCTTTATAGTAATTTGTATGAATAAAAATGTGTCATTACATTTGAAATCTCATTTAAATTCAATTGAGAGGGATTTGAAATAGAATGTTAAAACTCGATTAATCGTGAGGTTATCACCATTACTTTGAGCGATTAATCAACTAAAAATAATCGTTTTTTTTTTGTGACTGCCCTAATTATAATTTATATATATATATATGATATATATATGATATTCTATATCATTTATTTTTTGTTTTCATGTTTGCATCACTAGAGGGAGCCCAGGTACCCAGTGATTTACGCTTACCACACTTGAGAATCCCTGAACTGACGTCAATTACAGGACAGTCAGGACTGGACCAAATACAGTACAGACCAAAAGTTTGATGCTTTGTCATTCAATGAGTTGTAGATTCACTCTCCAGCCTGTGTAAGGGCTAGTTGACCAGGCCCTCCACAGTCACCGACTGTGGAGGCCAATCCAGTGGTTTTGTGATGAGTTGGACCACAGAGTGAAAGGTGACGGCCACCAAATGCTAAGCATCTCAGGGATCTCCTTCCAAGACTGTTGGAATACCTTTTCAATCATACCTCTTGAAGCACAACAGAGAATGCAAGAGTGTGCGACGCAGTAATCAGAAGCAAAAGGTGCTACTTTGAAGAACTTAGAATATAAGGACCTCTTTTCGTTGTTTAATCCTTTATTACTTATGTACATCATAAGTCCCATGAGTTAATCATAGTGTTGATGCCTATCTAGTGTGATATCGACAATTTTCATAGTGTAAATAATGAAAATATGAAATTAAAAAAATCTTTGAATGAGAAGGGTGTCCAAACTTTTTTTTACAGGTGAAAAATGGCGTTCATTATTACTTCTCACCTTAGCGGGAAGAGGAGAAGTCATATGTTATACATTCTAGAACTACCCACCATTATCTCAGCTACTACCATAGTCTTTAAGCATTATAGCTTAAAATACTTGTAAAAAAAATACTTAAAATGCTTGTATTTTTTATATTTTTTTTTTTTTCATTTTTTAGTGGTGTGTATGTATGTCCCATCTCCTGTATGCAATCTCTTCAAAAGTTTAATATGTCCAAACACATTGATTAAAACATTGTACTCTATAATAAAGTAGTTGTGAGACACCGTCCCCTATCCGAACCAACACAACACAGACAACAAGCAGCATCCAAGCTTACATAAATCATTTTCACATTTTATTTGGAGAAGTAAATTATAAGTCTTGTTTTAAATCTCGTTTATATATTCTTTCTAAATATTTTCCCAGGTTACCAGAACGGAGGTGCCATGTTTCCAGTGTTACCAATCACATCAGCAAGAAACGCATCACTTACCTCTACCCTCACAGACAAGGCCATCCCACCAGCATGTGCTCCCAAAAGATGGGCACCCAAGGAGAAACGCCCACCACACCCAGCATCAGCAGCAGCACAGCACTACATGGACTTTATGAACGTCCGGTCCAGGGCATGTCCAGGGTGAAGCACTTGAGGGTCACAGCGCACCTGCGGGACATGTCCCAAAGTGGGAAGCAGGGACTGACAATGATGTGGTTTATGTGTATGGACTAGTACAATGCGTGGGACTGATCAACGAGTTATTGTTGGATTTTTTGTATTCTAAAGTCTAACAAGAATCCCAAATAAACGTGATCCTAATACATAATAAACTAAAACATATCCTAATTTGGAAACACAAAAATTTAATAAATCCATAGTTATTTTTTTTTCTCTCTCTCATAACTCTTTACTTCCATTGATAGTTTTCCACATGTAGTATTTTTGGCTCTTTCACACCTTTAACTTAAGCTTGTTCAGTGAAAAAAGAGAGTACTTCTAAGCCAATCAGCTCTCAGTAAGTAAAAGACAGCATTGTTTTCTTTAGATGAAGCGCATGTTGTGTTCTTATTTGTTCACAATTTGTCTACTTAAACAAGTATGATTGGACCTATTAATAAAGGTTTTGGGGCAAAGAAGAAAAGAGACAAACCAATTAAATATGTTGCTTTATGGTTTGTGTGGCAGAAAGCAGAGGAAGCGCAGCATCCAGCCAGAGGCCGCCTTCCCCCCCAAACCCCAGCCTCCCCCTGTGGCACGCGCTGCAGAGGCTTCTGTACCAGCTACATTGGTCGGACAACGTGAGATCCGCTTCGAAGTCAATGACGTCTTTGAAACTGCTCAAAGAAGGTAAGTAAGGGTTTGTACTACCCTGGATTGAAATCATTTTCATTTAAGTGGTTCTACCCCCGCTCGCGGAGCTTTACGTCACTAACCATTTCCTGTTCAAATCTTCCTTAAATGGCGTAGCTGGGGGACTAAAGGGGGCGTGAACGAGACTGGGCCGTTTGACATGGCTCTGGGCGGGGGCGGCTGAAGTAAGGTCCAACTTCTGTGCCAGTGTTGGCGCCAGATTCAAAATTCATATGTAGGATTAAGGTCGCCAGCTGATGGCGCCTCACAGAACGGTTTTAGGCAGAAGTTGACTCTCTCTCTCTTTCATCCTCTCCTTTGCTTAAGCGTTTGTGTTGGGAGTGAGGCTTCTTGTGGCTGGGTCTTGGGCAGCACAGTGTGGTGGGACTAGAAGTTGATTTTTTTTTCCCGCTTAATGTGTCTTTGCTGTTTTATGTGTTGTTTTTTACTTTTTGCCTTTGGTTTGCTTTCTGTGTGTTTGGCTTTTTTCTTCTGGTCTTTGTTGTTTTTCTGTTTATTGTTTATGTTGTTATCCTTTCTCTTCTGATCGTTGTGTTGTTGAGCGAGATAAGGGTCAGCACTTCTGCCTAAAACCGTCTGTGGAGGCGCCATCTGAGGCGGACCTGTATTTACTACATTTTGAATTTTGAATCTGGCGCCCCCCAACACTGGCCAGAAGTGGGACCAGACGTCAGCCGCCCCGCCAAGAGCACAATGTTAAACGGCCCAGTCTCGTTCACGCCCCTTTAGTCCTCCAGGCTATCGGCCCTTTAGAGGAAGATTTTGAAACAGGAAATGTGGAGTGATGTAAGCTCGAGGACGCGAGATTGTGGAAGAACCACTTTAATGAAAAATGATTTCAATCCATGGTAGTCAAACCTTAGTACTTCTTTGAGCCAGTTCCAAAGTACGTCATTGACTCTCGAAGCTCAGATATCATCGGTGTCCTGACCAATGTATGGTACAGAGCTCTGCCAGCGCGGGTGCCACAGGGGCGAGGCTGGGGTTTGCGGGGCTGGAGGAGGCCTCTGATGATGCTGCGCTTCCTCCTGGCTTTCTGCCACACAAAACTAAAGGCAAATATTTATTTGGTGTTGTCTCTATTTCTTTCTTTTGCCCCCAAAACCTTTATTAATAGGTTCCAATCATGTCTTGTATAAGTAACATTTTTCGTGAACAATCAGGAAACAAAATGACTTTCTTCATTATAGAAAACAATGCTGTCTTTTACATACGAGGAGCTGATTGCTTAGAGGAGTCTCTTTTTTTTCACTGAAAAGCTTAAGTTAAAGGTGTGATGAGGCCAAATACTTACATGTGATAAACTATCAATGGAATTAAAGAGTTTTGAGAGAGAGAAACAATACTATGGATTTATTAAATTTGTTGTGGTTTCAAAGTTTGGATCTTTTAGTTTTTTATTTTATTAGGATCACTTTTTTTTTTGGGATTCTTGTTAGACTTTGAATACAAAAAAATCCACAGTAATCTTGAGTTCATCAATCATTGGATTTCTTAGACCATCGACATAACCACATCATGTGTCAGTCTTGCTTCACTTCTGGGACATGTCGGCTGGTGCTCTCGTGGAATCAGTGCTCACGCCCTGACATGCCCTGGTCGGGACGGATCATAAAAGTCCATGTTTCTGATGCTTGTGCTGATGCTGGGTGTGGTTGGGCGGTTCTCCTTTGGGTGCCCAGCTTTGGGAGCACAGGCTGGGCGGCATGGCCTGGTTTGTGAGGGTTTTAGAGTAGTGGGACTTTCTGGCTTGGTGTGAGTGGCTCTGGGGAAACTTTGGCACCTCCGTTTGGTAACCTGAGGGAAATTATTTAGAAAGCACATATCAAGAGTTTTTAAAAAAAAGAATTATCATTTACTTCTCAATTAAATGTGACAATGATTTGTTGTTGGATTGCTGCTTGTTGTCTGTGTTGTGTTGTTCGGAATAGGGACGGTGTCTCACAACACTTTTTATAGAATTACAATGTTTAATCAATGTGTTGGTACAAATTAAACTTGAAAGAGGGATTGCAATACAGAGATGTTACCATTACATACACACACTAAAAAATGAAAAAAAAAATAGAAAAATACAAAATTTTAAGTTTGTTTTACACGTATGTTTTAAGCTCTATGCTTAAAGACTTTGTAGTAGCTGTGATAATGGTGGTATAGTTCTCGAAGTGTATAAATATTACGTCTCTTACCAGTGACGATGTGAGAAGTACTAATGAAAGCCCATTTGACAACGTGTATAAAAAAGTTTTGACACATCTTTCTCATTCAAAGCTTTGTTGTTATTTTCATATTTTTCATTATTTTTCACTATATGAAAATTGTAGTATGCCCACTGAGGCATCAACACTGATGAATTACTCATGTGGAATTATGTATGTACTTATAGTAAAAAAGTATGAAACAATGAAAATATGTGCTTATATTCTAAGTTCTTCAAAGTAGCACCTTTTGCTCTGTACTGGCTGCGCACACTCATTGGCATTCTCTTGATGAGCTTCAAGAGGTAGTGTTTGAAAAGGTATTCAACAGTCTTGAAGGCGAATCCCTGAGATGCTTAGCATTTGTTGGCCTTTCACCTGCACTTGTGTCCAATCTCACAAAACCATCTGGATGGCCTCCACAGTTGGTGAATGTGGAGGCCTGGTCAACTTGCCCTTAACACAGGCTGAGTAGTGAATCTACAACTCATTGAATGTCAAAGCATCCAACCTTTGGTCTGTACTGTTTATGTCAGTCTGTTGTCTGTATTGACGTAGTTTCAGTGTTTACTCAAAGTGTGGTAACGCGTAAATCTCTGGTTCGCGGGGCTCCATCTGGAGTGGTATGCCAAAATGATATAAAAATAAAGTTTATATATTTCCATATTTTATATTATATATATATATATATATCATATTATATATATTGGCTGTCAACGTATTATTTTTTTGTAGTTGATTATCGCATAGTAAAGTGAAGTTTAACTCCACGATTAATCGCATTTTTAAATTCTATTCAAATCCACTCAATTGTAAGTTAAATGAGGATTTTCACATTGTAAGACTATTTTTATTCATACCAAAAATTATACTTAACGAGTAACTAAACACCAATCAACTTTTTTTACTCTATACACTGCCTAAATATGTCTTCCTATAGTGCTCCCTATCATTGTCTGGCATATATATGACATTTAAAACAAATAAGTTAAAATCTCACCTTTTGAGCGAAACCGTCTGTGTGGCGCCTCACTATTGGTTTTCCGTGTCCAATACATGCTTGAATTTTGTTCCTGGACTCTCCATGGCTCTTGAGTTCCCTGTTTTCTGTGCGCAGGTCTTCCCGAGCCTCTGCTAATAAGTCTGTTTGACATGCTCACAACCTTTCTTCTTTTGGGTACAACCAACAAGAGTTGACACGTCAATGGCAGTTAATGCGTTAATTTATTTTTTTAGCGTTAATGAAAACGGTTATTAACCGTGATAACGCGATTGATTTGGACAGCCTAATATTTATACATATATTATACTTATTATATATATATATATATTATTTTTTTTACTTTATTTAACAGGAAAGTCCCATTGAGCATACGGACCTCTTTTTCATGGGAGTCTAAATAAATGTCCACATATCATTACAGATTTACTGACTGTTGTCAAAGCAAGTGCATCATGTTGTGTAGCCTTGCTGTCTGTTACAGCTAAATCGGTGGTTGCAGGAATGTCTCCAGTTCATCTCCTGGTTTTGGGAGACCGGAATTTGGTTCAGTTGGGAGGGGAAACAACTTGAACTCTCATTTGTTTTCTTTAGGTCGTGAAATCAACTTAGTTGTAGAAGAACTCCCAAGCGGATGGCGTTACCGATCTCTTATACTTACTGTATGAGATAGGTCAAGGGCTGGGAGGGAGGTATCTGCTTGGTTGATGTGCTTAGCGAGGGAGGGTCACTGAGTACCAGGGGGTTTGTCCAAGAAAGCTAGTGGCTGCTGAGTTTTAATAGAGTCTGACCGCCAGAAAAATCGTTGGATCACTGGTAACGGGTTTAGGGCAACGTCTTTATGCTGGGGAACCTGGGTGTACCAAAGCCCAAAATGCGTCGCCGTTTGGCGTTGTCCTGAGCTCCCACTCCTTTCGGCCTGGTGATTCAAGTGATGGCTTTATGTCCTAGTATAACATCAACCATTACAAGCAAAAGATTACGGTTACGGTCTGAAAAAACATCTGATCAAAACTATTGTTCTGATGCCGAAGCGTTGGAAGAGGAACACAGTTGTGTCATGTCAACTTTTTGGAACTATTCAAGCCGTTTCAAGTTCAGTTACATCGTCAGTATGCGCAATCATTGCGGTAGGCGTTCTTACCTTCTTCTCATGCCTATCATTTAGCAGGGGCGTGTCAGCATGCAGGTATAACATGGCCAGAGGAAGGATCCTCCACCCACCGTGCTAAGCCCCCGGACAGCCGGTGGAGAGCCTATGTCCCTGGGCCGAATAGCACTGCTAAGGTGCCCTGTAAGGTGGCATGGATGCCATGTCTTGTCGGCTCCTTTCAGGGAGGGGACCGCAGCGGATACAAAGAGCTAAATCTCAGTTCAGGGACGAAACTGTAAGCAGCCAAGTCCTGGCACAGAGGTATTAAACACTCTTCTTGTGGCTGCACCCCCGCAAAGCTCCTGGCCCGGACCCAAGTCGTCTCCAGCCACTCTGGACACTGCCGCGAGTGAACTAACTCCTGTGTTCACTGACATTTTCAACTCCTTCGGCAGTCCTGCCAAGTCCCGGCCTGCTTCAAAATCCTCCATCATTGCCCCCGTCCCGACGAAGCCAGGATCACAGGACTCAATGACTACAGACCTGTAGCACTACGTCTGTCGTCATGAAGTCATTTGAACGATGGTCCTCTCCATCTCATGTCCTCCCCTCCCCCTCCTGACCCCTGCAGTTCTCGACTACAGAGCCAACAGATCTGTAGACAACGCCATCAACTGGCCCTCAACACATCTCTACTGCACTTGGACCTCCCCTGGGGACCTACGCCAGGGTCTAGTTCGTGGGACTTAGCTCTGCCTTCAACCACGATACTGCCATCCCTGCTCAGGACAAGCTCTCCCAGCTCAACGTTGGCCCGTTTCACCTGCAGGTGGATCCCTGTACTACCTGACAGACAGGAAGCAGCGAGTGCAGTCTGGGAAGAATGTCTCGGACTCTCGGATTCTATATACAGGAGCCCACAGGGCTGGTTCTTTTCTCCCCTGCTCTTTCCCTGTACACCAACCTACTGCACCTCCAGCCACGACTCTGTGAAGCTGCTCAAGTTCGCGGATGACACCTCCCTCATTGGAATCATCTCCAAGAACGATGAGTCCGCCTTACAGGAGGGAGGTGGGACC